GTCTCCCTTTCTCATACCCATTCATCCATATATCATTGTCAAAAAAGAACGGAAACTGAAACACATATGGCACTCGTAATAAGTAAAAATAGGTACGCATAAGATCTGTGGTACATACAGTGTATCTCAAAATTAAGCGCACACCTGAATGGTTAATTTTTTGAAAGACTGTGAGTAGATAGATTTTTGAAATCTTGGCTAGTGGTTGAACAACTATTTATTGATTTATCAGTATAGCTTTGGACTTTATTCACCGACAAACCGACATGAATGATCAAAGCAAAAACAATAAAATTTCAGACCAAAGCACACTACTGACATCTGGTTCCTTGTTCGCGGGAAATATTTAGCTAAGCCCGCATGCAAAGTTGGTTGAATTGGTCCGTGTCTGATTTATTCTAGACAAATTATTTTTATCTAGATCAAAAAATCCTATGGTTTTGACAGTTCGGATCACTGTACATTTAAATCGGCCGTCTACGAGTTTCGGACATAGGTCAGAATTAAGTGTCATGTCGGTTTGTCGGTGCTTTATTGGCAGAGTATGTATGAAGTTTGAGTAATTTCAGTAAAACGGTCAATTTTCAACTTTTTTCATAGTAGCCGGATTTTAGTAAAATTAACGACATTTTAAAGGTCTTTATTATGACTACAGATTAGCATCATTTCAATATATTTGGCTCATTGTATTTCAAGAAAATGTGTTTTCTTACACTTCTTCTTCTTCTTCTTCTTCGCATTTCAAGCTTATTGCATATCGCATATTAGCTTATTGCGTGCTCTCAACTTAGTGTTCTAGATGCACTTCCACAGTTATTAATTGAGAGCTTTCGATGCCTGTACCATTTTTGCATTAGTATAATTGTGTGGCAAGTTCAATCATACTTCTATACCCAGGGAAGTCGAGAAATTTTCCAACCCGAAACATTCCTAGACCGAACCGGGAATCGAACCCAGCCACCTCCAGCATGGTCTTGCTTTGTAGCTGCGCCTTTACCGGCTGAGCTAAGGGAGGCCCCAGGTGTTTTCTTACACACTCATCCAAATAAGCCCAATACTATACCGATAACCAATAAATTTTCAAGTTGTGCTCGTACAGCTGTTTTTCTGAAATGTACGGACAGCTGTACGCTCAATTTTGAGATACACTGTATACATATATGCCTATTCTTCGCGGCGTGTGAGGTGAGGTTGCTCCAAGAGAAGAGGTGACAATACGGGGGCGAAAAAAAAAACAACTTTTCTGTCAAACGTGAACCAGCTCCTGATTGGCCGATTTCATGTGCGTAAGATAGAGATAGAGATAGATAAAGATAGAGATAGAGATAGAAATAAAAGAGGAAGAAGCCAATTGTCACCTCTTCCTCTTAGAGGTTGCTCGCTGTCACTAGTAAAGTGGCAATTGCAAATCAGTGCCAATCAAATGGAGAGTCACCTCAACCGACAATTGTCACTTCACTGTCACCTCACCCTCACACGCCGCACACAATAGGCCTAACAGAATCGTAATCTCAAACATGTTTATTCTCAGTGCGGGATTCCCCTGCATCAGTAGTCTAGGTTTTCGTGTGAAACTGCTAGTACTGCTGCCACCTTAGCACTGTGAGTAATCACAACCCGTATGTATGTATAACAGTTATAAAATTTCACATTCAATCCACCTGCACAGTTTTCACTGTTCTGCTGACGCACAAAGTCATTTACTTTGCGCATTAAGAAACATGGAAAAAGGGAAAAGTTCGTACACAGCCTAGTAAAATTAATGGACTGATAAACTGGAGAGAGAAAAAAAAAACCAACCACCATTAGCAGGGTTGTAATATAAAATTAATGCGCCCGCAATCCTAGCAATAATAATAATGTGTGGTCGGTGGATGGAGTTAATTTATACATACCCACCTAACTTGAACAAAGGCGGATAAGCAAACAATCGAACAAAACACAAAAAAATATATATCATCAGCAACCTGTTTGATTTGGTATTGTTCCTTCTCCATATTCCATCACTTTTGGCTCGCATCGCTAAAAAGTGTGATTGCACGAACGCCGAATGTTCAACTGCTTAGGGTTACGCGCCATATTGTCCCGAGAGCTAGCATTTGTCGGATGGAAAAAAATGTAGAAATTTCCATAAATTTCTCCTTTATTCGAACAGTTCTGAGGTATCATAACAATAACTAAATTCAACCCAAACAATGCAAAAAGTTCAATGTATGTGTACTAGAGTGGTTCGTTTTGAAAAAAAAGTAATAGATTTCTTATAGGCCATCCTCCAGGTCGATTCATGAAGATGATGATAATTGTCTACCACTCATTGTAGCACGGAAACTAAGTCTGATAGCGGTGGGCTCTCCTCGCTAGTCACTATTCGATTCGATCAAGCTTAATAACCTCTGATTATCCTCAACATGTCACTGTATGAAGGGCCAAAAACGGGTTGGGTGGATCGATAGGTAAAGGGTGATACGGTCAAAATTTGGTCAAGGGAAAACGCGTGTAAATCGGTGAAATCGTTTATTTAAAAAATCAAATTAAATTTCTTTTTCAAGTTCAATTAGTATAAAATTCAGGAAAAATATTCAGTTAGGCTTCCGCTTTTCCAAATCCGAATTGCCGGGCCTTACGCTTGACCCCTGCCATCAGATTTTGTACAGCCACCTTGTCCACCTTCTTCGCCGCAGAAAGCCAGTTTGCCTTGAACTGCTGCTCGCACTTAGCAGTTTTTTTGGTCTTCTTTAGGTTCCGCTTGACAATAGCCCAGTATTTCTCAATTGGGCGGAGCTCTGGCGTGTTGGGAGGGTTCTTGTCCTTGGGAACCACCTGCACGTTGTTGGCGGTGTACCACTCCATGGCCTTTTTACCGTAATGGCAAGATGCCAAATCCGGCCAAAACAGTACGGAACAACCGTGTTTCTTCAGGAAAGGCAGCAGACGTTTATTCAAACACTCTTTCACGTAAATTTCTTGGTTGACAGTCCCGGAAGCTATGAAAATGCTGCTTTTCAAGCCACAGGTACAGATGGCTTGCCAAACCAGATATTTCTTTGCGAACTTTGACAGTTTCATGTGCTTGAAAACATCTGCTACCTTTCCCCTTCCTTTTGCCGTATAAAACTCCTGTCCCGGAAGCTGCTTGTAGTCGGCTTTGACGTAGGTTTCGTCGTCCATTACCACGCAGTCAAACTTCGTCAGCATCGTCGTGTACAGCCTCCGGGATCGCGCTTTGGCCGTCGTATTTTGTTTATCATCGCGATTTGGAGTCACTACCTTCTTGTAAGTCGATAGTCCGGCTCGTTTTTTGGCTCGATGCACGGTTGTAGACGATACACCCAGCTTATTTGCGGCATCTCGGAGAGAGAGGTTAGGGTTTCGCTTGAAACTACCGGCAACTCTCTTTGTCGTCTCAGCGGCTTCCGGTTTTCGATTTCCCCCCGATCCAGACTTCCTGGCTGTCGACAAACGTTCCCCAAACACTTTAATTACATTTGTAACGGTTGATTTGGCAACTTTCAGCGATTTTGCCAACTTTGCGTGCGAGTAGCTCGGATTTTCGCGATGCGCGAGCAAAATTTTGATACGCTGCTCTTCTTGCTTGGACGGCATTTTGACAACTGAAGAGTGAATTCCAAAATCAAAATAGGAGCAACATTCTACACACACACACCTTCAAAATGTTCAGGTTTTTTAAATGCAAAATTGAAAGAAATACGTCAAGTTGATATTGACCAAATTTTGACCGTATCAGCCTTTATGCTTATGAAAGTCGAGGAAATTAATCCCCAGTAAGATTTTCTTGGCCGGGTTGTAAATCGAAACCACCGTCATCGGTGTGGTAAAACCACCATAACTGAATAATAGAGATGGTCGAATATTTTTATTTAAAAACCCGATCCAGCCCCGTACCCGATTAATAACATTTTCGAGAATGTGTACCCGACCAGAACCCGAGGTGTGTTTGTTGAATAAATTCTCCGAAAAGCCTGTTTTGATGCTTAAAATCATTACTTTCTTAATTGGATAAGATGCATACCCGACTATTCCACGTTTGTTGTCCCTAATAAAAATAACCATAAAGAGAGCTTAACGATGTGTTCGGGGTATCATCCAAACCATTTGTAGGATAGTTTACCCATCCGGGATACAGTTCGTTTATGGTATTTGTTTATACCATACTTGACCATACCGTCGAGTACCCTTACCTGACCATCTCTACTGAATAGGCCATTAAATCCGGGATGATTTTAGTTACTGAAAAAACTACCATAGGAAATAGTTCCGATTTCTGTTCCGAAATGTTTTGATTGTGTTCTAGATAACAAATTCAAAATGGAATTATCTGTAACAAGTCACATATACAGTAATACAATATTTTGGTTTAAATTTAGCTTCGAAATGTAAAATTTTGACAGCCACCATAATGATACGCCGATGCACGCCGCCGCCGATCAAAGTCAACGGCGTCTCGCCGCCGCTGCCGTGGCATAAATGGTTTTTACGCCGCCGCCACCGATGAAAGAACCGGCGCACAGGTCTAATAAAAACACATATGTACGTTATGGACTAAGCATTCGTCACTGAAAAGTGTAAGTCATTTGGTATAATAATTAAAAACTTCCAGCTGTTTATGTGTGTGCCATTTTACACCCTTTATCGCATAATATAGTAAACTCTATATGAGTAATCATATGCATTTAAAAGCACAGTACACCAGGAATGAAATCTAGTTGGAAAAAAATTAATAATGTTCTGGGATTTCATCCAAGTGAGTTGACATCTTCAATGTTGTTTGATTCATATCCAAATATCTCAAATATATCTCAATATACCTCTGAGATATTATGAGGAATTAAAGTCTATTTGATTTACATTTCAAACAAATTACGTTCACTTGCGCATTTTTAAAAAAATCATGTATTTTTTTTCAAATTTCATGTGAATTTCAGGAATATTTTATAACACTTCGTATATCTCAGTTGGTGAATATGTTCAGCTTTCAGGAGTTAAAGGGTGTCCACGATGAAATTGCCACACTATGAAATTGCTCTAACTTTTTAACCGTTGGGTAGAATTTAATGAAAATTTGGGTGGATTTAGTTCATAGTGCATTATTTACATCCTGCAAGTTTTAAAGTCATGTGATCAAAACTCGCGGAAATGGAGTCGAAAGAACAGCTCGTGCGTGATAAAATCTTGCGCATTCATCACGAGAACAAGGATCTCTCGCATCGTTCCATCGCTAAAACGTTGGGAATCGCGAATTCCACGGTGTCGCGAGTGATTAAGCGGTTCGAGGAACGGTTGACCACCGATCGGAAGCCCAGAAGTGAAGGAAAAAGTATTCCGTACAACACCAAAAATCACAACCGCGTAGTTGGAGCCTTCAACCGAAATCCGAACGCCTCCGTTAGGGATGTGGCTAAGAAGCTGCACCTAAGCCGAAGTTTTGTCCAGAAGGCCAAAACTAAGGCTGGGCTTCGAACGTTCAAGGTACAAAAGGCCCCTAATCGCGACGAGAAGCAGAACAAGTCCGCCAAAACCCGTGCCAGGAAGTTGTACCTCAACATGCTGACGAAAGTTGAATGCTGCATCATGGACGACGAAACATATGTGAAGGCCGACTTCAAACAGATCCCCGGCAACCTGTTTTTCACGGCCAAGGATAAGTTCAGCGTTCCGGAGCATGTCCGCACTCAGAAGATGTCCAAATTTGCGAAGAAATTCCTGGTTTGGCAAGCCATCTGCACGTGCGGGAAGCGGAGTGCACCTTTCGTGACCCAGGACACGATGAACGGACAGGTATACATAAAAGAGTGCCTCCAGAAGCGGCTGCTTCCTCTCCTGAAGGCCCACAACGTCCCAACAATCTTCTGGCCGGATTTGGCCTCATGCCACTACTCCAAGGACGTGCTGAAGTGGTATGCGGACAATAAGGTCAATTTCGTGCCGAAAATGTTCAACCCTCCCAACACTCCGGAGCTCCGCCCCATCGAGAAGTACTGGGCGATTATGAAGCAGCACCTTCTTAAACGACCTAAGGTAGTGAAGACAGTCGAGGAACTGAAGAAAGTATGGGTTTACATGCAAAAAAACGGTTGATTCACAGGTTGTGCAGAATCTTATGGCCGGGGTTAAGGCCAAGGTGCGGGCATTTGCGTATGGACTGTAAATAAAATACGAGTAAAATGGTAAAATGAAGTTTAATAGTTATTTCTCAATCCCTGAAAATTTGATGGCAATCGGATGAAAACTCGAATTTTGCGAATCAATTTTGTGTGTGGCAATTTCATCGTAGACACCCTTTATTCCGAGAGTCGAAGTGAGTTTTGTCACAAGTGACTTGAGAAAAGTCACGTCGTGGTGACGTGACTCTGCATTTAATTTGCACAGAGAGTCACGTCACCACGACGTGACTTATCTCACTTCACTAGTGACAAAAGTCTACTGATAGGAAATCCAAGTAAGTTCTAATAGCAATTCAAAGGGAATCTGAGTTTTATGATTCCAAAGGAACTCTTCTTTAGATGTTCCGCATGAATTTCCTTGAAATACAAAATTTCTATGACATTTTATTCAGAACTAAATTTTTGAATTTTGCAAATTTTCGTTGAAATTTTCCTCAAAATGTTCCAAGGACTATAAATTCAGTTGTTATTATCCATGGAATCTTGCTCTCCTGAAAATTGACATCCCTTCGTACCTATTCAGATTCTCTTAGAATTCTCTAGAAATTCAAGCCAATTTTTTTTTAAATTGTGGTCAAAATTTCCCTTAGAATTCTATGAATAATATCTGCTATGAATAAAATCTGCTTAGAGCTCCTAATAAATTCTCGTATGAATTTTCTTTGGTGTGCTTCAAGACTTTTCCATACAGAATGACCTTGGAATCCTCCGTGGCATTCATAAAGAATGTTCTCAAGAATTCTCTATTGTGTACCTATAACAAATATACGTTGTAGGGGAAATGGATGTAATGTCGGTCTAAATGCCCCTAATTTGGGCCCATACATAAATTCAGCAATCGATTAAATTTTCAATAGTAATCAAAAATATCCATAAGTACCGTCCGTACCATAAGTGACGCGTTCATCTAGATATAATTGATAAATAGCAGATTTTTAGCGATGGGCCCAATCTTAGATCCATAGGTATATGTTCCCAAGTAATCAAAAAGTTCTGATAAAAGGCTATTTTTGGCTTAAGCAGCTTGGTTGAAGATGGTCTATAGAATTCTAACCAGCCTAATTTTTAAGTCGTTAAGAACTTGAAAGTTCCGGTAGCATAATTGAAGAGCATTCTAAGCAGCTTCTGGCGGAACTTGAATGGAGCTTTTAGAAAATATGTTAAAAATATTTTTGTCCTCTACACCAAGTTTATATTTAGTTCGCTTTTTGATGAAAGTTAATTCTAAAGGCAGGTCTTTATGTAAGCTATTTCTAAGGCCAGATATGAACGTTAGACTGATGCAAATTTTGCTTTTTCGAGAATTTCTTTAATTATTCTTACGGGAACTTTGCGTAACATCGTTTTTCAGCCAAATGTCAAATTAAATTGTTATTAATTGTTTAAGAGATTGATAATCTTATGGCATGATCAAGCAGCTGTTCTATGGGCAACACTGTATTCTGCAGTGTGATATAGTAGCCATGATATTTGTGCTCTATTCTTCGCACCAGAAACACCAATGTGACTTGAATCATTAATAACTTTTGTTCCTTACATTTGATTGAAAAGTGGTTTTCAACAAAGTTGTAGCTGAGAAAATTTGCTGCAATCACTGCTACCATTTTTAAAAGCATAGTGATGTGGTGAATTGTTAGATAGATATGAACAAAAACATAAGTTTTCCCATAGTAATTCCCTCATAAACTTGAAATGTTTTGTGCCTAGTCAGTTTCTTACTAAAGTAGTTCAAATTTTGGGAGGCTAATAAGCACCCAATTTGGAACCGTTTAAGCACTGTGGAGCGAAAATTTCAAATTTTGCAGAAGTCTAATGACCGTGTATTGAATTTATCACCGTTAGTAGTAGTATTGGAGTTGTTTAAAGAATTAAACCCAGTCCTTAAACCGCTACGTCATCTGAGGTATATTAAAATGAGCTGTTGTCCCGCCTATTGTTGGAGTTTTCAGTGCCAGCTAACTGGCTGGAATACGAAACACAACACCTTGATGAATTTTAAATGGGCGTTTGCCCGCATGGTATTCCAACATACTTGGGGCGCAATGTTTAGCGTTCGCGTTATTTGCATGCCGAATATACGTGTTCGAATCCAGAAAATTTCTCTTATTTATTTTTTTTTTTTTAGATGGAATATTGATGCACTGCCTAAATATAAGAATTATGATTAATTTGAGCCACTGATAATTTCATATTTATGTACATTAATTTTTGTTCCTAAAAAAACTACAAGGGACAGCCCTGTGGGGTTGTACGCAATGGTGACGTAGGACTACATGGTCTTTTATAATTAATGTTATTTGTTAACTGCAGCAGGAGCTTGTGTTTTGTGTAGGAATGGGAATTTGAGCGGGGTTCTCTCTGTTGATACTCTTTAGTATGACTATGATTGCCCTGAAAAGAACCTTGATATGAATTTTAGTTGGGACATGTTCAGAAATTTAACTCTTTTGGAAAATCTTGGTGACCCTGAAAAGGGCCGATGGTAGTACAGGCTTAAAGCCTTTGGAAGATGATGATGACGTGTAGGCAACTGGATCAGCAAGTCGGACCGGACAATCCAATATTCCTCGGTTCAATGATTGGGCACCCGCAAAAGTCTCGGCCCGTCTGCAGCTTGACAGGGGTTGAACTGGTGTCTGCGACAGGTTGGAAGGTCGCAGAATATCAGTGTCCACCCATCTAAAGCTCCTCACTGCAGAAGCTAGTTTTTCTCGTTAAACTCCTTCTCTCAACAAGTTGGTAAATCTTAGCCTTTAGCCTTTAGCAAATTTATGATCCTGTTTCACATCATGGTTCTTCTCTATGCCTGTTCAGATAAATTAGTACTTTTATTTATTTTCTCTACTGCGCTAAATCAAACGATTAGAAATAAGAAGGGATGTCGGTTACGCGCTCGAAAAATTCAAAATTCGATAAATCTTTCATCGAATAGCAGGAAAAATCTTTACGATTAATCGTTAATCGAATAATTGGACTTTAGGCATTCCTAGAAAATAGAGTAAATTCATGTTTTTTGGTGGTGCTTCAAAAATGTCGAACAGCAAAATTGCAACCAGCAAGTCCCAAGACCCAAAAGCGGTGCGATGCTAGTTTCCATTGCTATGACGACGACTGAATTAAGGGGCTTAGAAGCGGAGGGGTGAAAGTCAATTCTCTTAATCGATTTCCTCATTTGATGACCTTCACTAAAGATTACAACTCTAGAGAGCATTTTGTGTGGTCGTTGGAAGCGTTTGGGTCTGAATATGGCGATGAGTGTGCAAAATGTTACGCCATTGCATCCTCCCTATTCGCACACGTCCGAAGATCGGAGGCGAATGCCACTTCGACTTGTTTCGTCTACTAACGACTCTCTGATGACTGTATTGGGGAAGCAGCATATGCATGTACGTAATTGGTGGATTTGTTAGTTATTTCGACGCTTTTGGACAATGCTTGACATTTACCATTTTTTAATAGCATTCGATGAGTAGAAATATTTCTGATCGATTGGTGATAAAATTATTGAAATTGGTCAAGGGGCAGCTGAGTTATTAACGTTCAAAATCTTTTATAATTTCGTTACATGTTCCATTTTTGGTTTTCACAAAGTGTACTCCCATATAGAAATCATAGACGTAGTCCTACATCACAGAGACTTGTGCAGATTGCTTCACGTGGGCTATGACGGACCTTTTTAGAAACTTTCAACTTGCTTACAAGTTCCGCAGGGAACTTTTAAGATACTTTAAAGTTGCTAAGAAGTTTCGCTGGGAACTTGTTTGGAACTTTGTTGTGGCCATGTTTTCAGCCTTGCCGAAGTTCCTAAGAAGTGCTTAGGGATGCTTTTTGGAATTTTTTTTTGAACTTCAAGTTGCTAGGAGTACGCTTCGGAACTTTTTGAAGCCTGAAGTTCCTCGTGTGGTTTCTATAGCTTCTAACGTAGCTAGAAAGTCGTGCTGGAACTTTATATGCACTTTATGGAATCTGGAAGTGAGGTTTATCGTTGAATGTGAAACCTTTGATTGCTTGGGAAGAAAGTACTGTCGGAACTTTATGGAACTTGAAAGTTCCGTCGAAACTTTGTTTGAACTTTATGGAACTTCGAAGTGAGTTTTATCGTTGAATACGGAACTTTTAGTTACTTGGGTTGTATCCGATCTCTATAGAATGTTTTTGGAATTATACCAATTTTCATCAAAATTCTATGAAAAGTTCTTCCTGTAGGATCACTGATAATAATATTTCTTTCCGAAACGACGGTATTGCTTTTTGGTAGATATTTCGGAAGGAGATTTCTCGCGTCACCTTTCAAATAGACCAATCTGCATTGATCTATTCGCTTCATCGACTCTCTCTTTCGTAAATAACTCGACTCAAGAAACATCTTCAGCTGTTCTTATCGTCCAATACGCTTCATAATACTTTCTTTTAACAGACAGCATCAAGCAAAATTAGCCAGAAATATGAATGCAGCCAAGTTATTAATCCTTTGCCTGTACCAAGCTTGCAAATACTCATTTCAGCTAAAATAATGTTTTTCGGAATAATAAAACCAAAAGATGGTATGATGACATGTTTTACTTGTAGCTTACAAGAAGAGGTTACAAAGTATGCGTTTGAAACATAAAACCTGTAAATTTTGCTTTCTATGAGTCACAATCAGCGATTTGCTGATCGCTGAGTGAGTGAGTGAGTGAGTGTGTGAAAAATCGCTGATTGTGACTTTCATGAAGTGAAATAAACAGGTTTAATATGTCAAACACATTCTTTGCAACCTCTTCTTATATCATACCAGTTCAAAATATGATCATAGTATCTAATTATTTCATAATTAAAAAAAAAAACATTGTTTTAGTTGAAATGAGTATTTGCATCCTTGGCCTGTACCTCTTAAACAAAGGTAAGTTCATAGCAAAAATCCTTCAATACGGAAAATTCGAAATATGTCTCAACTAAGAGACAGGCATATCAAGAAGACTCGAGTTCATTTTACAGCTTCGAAAATGTAGTGTCCTTCTTTCATTTCATGCATCTACTTGCTCATATTTCTGCAGGAAATCTTCAGAATCGTCATCAATCTTCTTTCTATCTGCTCAGCGTGTGCGCAGCTAACCACAGCAAAACAAAATCTTTCCTGCATCGTAGATAGAGTCACCCTCGATTTGATCTGAACTCCAGGACGATTTACTCGGAAATAGTCTTAACGACAGCCACTATTGTAGGAAAGTTCGGAGCTCAAGCGATTTTAGCGATAGTGATATTCGAGCTTCGGTTTGCGCCAGTACAAGTTTTGTTTAGAAAAGCATCCTCTGTTTGTGTTTCGTATACACAACAAATGTGCAATGGATTGCAGCGTAAGTACAAGCAAGCTTTCCAGAATGTAATTTATTCATAAAACCGTATCGAGATGATTTTCTAGACGCAATGCATTTGGAAAAACAAACTTTGTTCGAAAAATAAGCTAACATAAAAAATTCGAAATTGTTTTAAAAACCTTAACCACATCACAGAATCTGTTCATGTCGCATGTTTCCTATATTTCCCGGTTGGGTGTGGAAGGCTCTTTTCTATTGTTGGTCGAGATATCAAATCCCGAAAAGTTAAATGCTGTTTGAAATCTACAAGTGTGTTCTCAAAATTTGAAAAAAATCCTCACATATGTGCTCAAAACTTGAAAATCAAGTCTTCATCAACATATTGAAATTTGTTTTAGTAGGTATAAGCATAACATTTACAACATACCAATTACCGTTTCTAAAACAAAAATTTGAGCATTCTTAACAATTCCGGGATGCCATTAGGCTCAAATAGAAACTCACGATTTTCACTAAATGAATTCAATTTCGGGAATTTCACTACAACTTCAAACCCAAATCAACATCAGCTGCAACATTACAATCAAGCAAACGACTGAAGAAGGTCATCACCGCTTTATGTAAAACAACATCTTTCGTGCATTTCCATTCCGACACCAACCGTCGCGTCGTCGTCGGGGGGTTATCTCCTTGATAGTAGCCCGAACGACCAAATGACGGCAATGACAGTTGAAATAAAATGCGAGAAATGTCGTATATTCCATTTGAGGCTGAGGTCAACGGTATAGGCAGTAGCGCGCCTCCACCACACTGAGCTGTATCCGAATCCGGCACATATCGATGGGAAACAACGCGGACACCAGAAACCTTTGGTAGGAGGGCACTACACGCTTAACTTCGCAATGCCATACGATTCGTCACCTCCACCCGCTTCCTCGGGCTTCTTTCTCATATTACGTAAGGAAAAATGACGGTATAGGGGAGTCATGATTCAATTCCAAGTTACTCAACCAATCGTCGTCGTACGGCTCTCGTGTCTGGGCTGTGGTAGTCAAACACAACCCGGTGAGGCCAACTCAACGAGCTGTTGTTGTCGCTTCACTTTCGTTTGAACCAACCCTCCTCGTAACTCTACCAACCATCTCCATCACCAAAACAGCCTCTGCGAGCTCCGGTCTGTCGGTAGCAATCGGTGAAGTTGTTACAGCACTTTGAGGAAGCTATTATGAAGCTGAAAAAAAAACATCTGTCGGCGCACCTCGACTCTGTATGATCTATTGTTGTTGCTCGAGAGGAAACAAGACCATGATCATCATTGCCTCCAATTATATCAATTCGGAGGCTTATCACGCAAGCACTCTTTCTACGCCTTCCGCATATTCATCGTACAATTTTGCGTTCCTCTTCATTTGCTAACGTTGCCTAGAATCTTCTCAGTAGGCTATATTGGGTATTCCCAGAACACACACACACACACACATTATCCGGATAGATCAACGCTCTTAAGACTTAATCTACCTCGCCATATTGCAAACACGTACTTTTTGAGGTCTTCTCCTTCCTTGTGCACGGTGGGCAGCTATTGTTCCTATTGCACTGGTAATACACACTGCTGTTTAGTTGAGCAATCACACCTTCGTCGTAAAACACCTCGAATTATTAGCGTGAAAACCGGTCCAACCACCACGAGGTCGATTGCGAGACTGTCGTCGATTGATTGATACTGCGCGCGCTTCGCGAAAATTTACCGCTTGTTAGATCCGACGCGATCGAGACTCTCCACTACACTGAGTTGGATCGACTTCGCATCGCGAGCTTTTTACCCCCGATGTTTGCCCTCTATTGGCGCATCCATGAATGCCGCAATGAAGGGCTTAACGAATAGTCATTCTTTTTAAGGTACGTAAAAGTAATGTGAAATTCGTACAATCAATTACCAAATGATCATGCTAGGCCTCACCTTTGGGCGACCCCTTAATAATCGATTGCAACCGCAGAAACCGGTTTTTCTCGCTAATCTGCTTTATATTCGCTGAGAATTATTGTTTGAATGTGCATCATTTGCCTTGCCAATGGCAAATGCATCGATCAAGCAAGATTCAAACGATAGCGTGCATGTGTGCGGAAATGCTCTGCGATTAGTATTTAGTAGATGTAGCTACCTACCGTACTTTCTCAGTGTAGGGGAAAGCGGGGCATTTTGGGCACCTTAAGAAAAGCATCACTTCTTCTTCATCTTCGCATTTCAAGCTTATTGCTTATCGCATATAAGCTTATTACGTGCTCTCAACCTAGTGTTCTAGAAGCCTGTACCGTTTTTGCATTAGTAAATGGTGTGGCAAGTACGATCATACCTACTCTATGCCCAGGGAAGTCGAGAAATTTTCCAACGCGAAAAAATTCCTAGACCGAACCGAGAATCGAACCCAACCACCTCCAGAATGTCGTTGCTTTGTAGCTTCGCTTTTACCGACTGAGCTAAGAGACGCACTAATGATACCAAATTCAGTGGAAAATTCGAATGGGTTTCAACCAAATCTTGTAACCGAAATAAAATCCAATCGCGGTGGTATGAGCGTCCTTGAAAACAACCGGAAAGAATATTCTGTTGTATTGAGGCAGGGATGGATCGCTCTTTTGGAACTGTTTCGTCACTTTTTAATAAAGAATGCCAACGTTAAATCCAGTTGAATTTTTAGCTAACCCGTCTTAAAATAGATAGTTTAGTGTTATTAATCTCCCTATCAAAACTAAAAATATCTGCACCGTAGAGCCACACTCTGTGTTTTCACCGAAGGTACACTTGAGCGCGCTCTCTGTAGATTAATAGTATTACACTATCTTCTTTAAGATGGGTTGACTGAAAATTCAATTGGATTAAACGTAAGTATTCTATATTAAAAAATAATGAAAAAGTCCCAAAATAGTGATCCATCACTGATGAAGGGTCAACAATGAACAGTTTTAGCATAAAGATATTTAGAAGAATCAATAATTTTCTGTAGAATAAATTAAATTTAAGAAGTACTGCCTATTTAAGGCTAACTATCTTGCAAATGACTAATTTTTTACCAAAGCAGTTGCTTCAAAAAGTGATTTCATATGATAAATATTCATAAAAGGAATAATGTAAAATTTATTAATTTCACTAGAAAATTTTTGAAAGATCAGTCGTGCTCATAATGCCCCGAATGAACTTAAGTAATATTTTGTTTAAAAAAACTTTTAGTGGTTATCGAAAACTAAAAACAACATCGTGTCATATAAGAAACCAATGACCCTTTAGGTCACTTCTGAACGAATATTAACGATAAATTAAAGGAAACTATTGACAGACCTTCTTTTCTGATTCAGAAATCGTATAAAAAATTTGTCATTTTGAGCTAGTCCAACATATTTCAAATATTCGCACTAGAGAAAACTAATTTTTTAGACTAAAATTAAATGAATAGCAAGCAGTAAACCTGCAACAGATTTTTGGAAAAAAAATATGTTAAATAAGCTGATTTTTAAACGGGTGGCCATGTTGCCCCACTTCCTCCTACACTGCGTTTAGTGGGAAGAATTGACAGGGGGGGGGGGGGGGAGCGATACAGATGTGGGACGGTCGGTTGCGGTTCCGGTGTTGGGATTTACGCGTGGTTTTTCTCGTCATAACCAGCTTTACCTATACCTGATGCTTGAACAGAGCATAATAGCAGTTATATTGTATTCTATAGACAATAATAACGTTGTTGTTATTGTCTGTTCGTGAAGAGCACGCCCGATTTGCGATCGAATTATAAATGCCATAATAGCACCGTTAGTTGCAGATTAGTGAGAAAATAAGGTTTTACCCTAACACAATCAAGGACGCGGCCGTTTATTACTTAATTAGCATATTTATCGGTTGATTTTGAATATGTATCAGGTAACGTATGACGCGGATCAAGTTGACGTTCCTGTTTGGTGGTTAATCATCCTACAGATCGAGTTGATCGTCGTGCGGTGAATGATCGTGAAGAAGTGAACTATGCATAATGGAATGATTTCACGGGTTCATGGTTGATGAGTGTGGGCGATGGATGTGGGGATCGACCAATCCGTTTACTGATATGAATGACATTTAAGTGTTTTTAATGACTTCTTGAGTGACAGCCATATTGTTGCGGCAAAGTGCTTCTGTATTGTACAAACAGATAGAATTGCACTGTCATATTTTCTGCCAAGGTTGACTTAGGCAGTTCAACAATCAGTGGATAGTCTAAATTTACGTAGGGCTACATCTTTGTTAAACATACTGGGGTGCCAATAAGAAAAAAAATGTGACGAAATAGTGTCAGGTTTTAAACGCCTATAAGTTGGCCATTTATTGATGGATTTCAAATTGCATCACACCATATGATACAGATATAATGTAAGATTCGTTTGATAGCAGCGCACTAAGATTGAAAAAGCAAAATTTCATAGCAAAAATAGGTATCTCAAAAACCATGCACTCTAGTGGTTTGACATCTGCGATAGAGTTTTTCTACAAAAAAGATCTTCTAGTTATAGTAGTAAGATCCATCGAGGATAATACTAGGCCGTATAATCCTAAGTTTTAAACCCGGATATAACTTAACTAATAATTAGAGAAAATCTCTGATTTTCAAAAAGATCGTAGCCAAACCAAAATCTGTTTATATTTGTGCAATCCGATTCGCTGCAGCTGTTCCGATTGCAGCTGCCAGAAAGTTTGTTAAGGTTTGGTCCCAATCGGAACGTCCTTCCGCGGGTGCATTATTTTTCATCATCTTCATCATCTTCCTGGACAATCCTACAACGGACTTTTCCGCAACATCCTATTTCCATGTTTGCGAAGAAATGTGTTGTCTATTCGGGATGAATTATGCCTCTGATTATGCTGCTCTTCTGGGTGAATTTCTCGTCGGAAGAACTGTGAATTTCTAGTAGGAAGTCTTCGGAATTTCTCGTCGAAAGTTCTTTGTACTTTTCCTCTGAAGTTCTCTGTACTTCTCCTCGGAAGTTCTCCGGATTACTAAACGGATAATCTGCGAGTTTCTCCTCGGAAGTTTTCTTAACTTCGCGTCGGAAGTTTTGTGAAGTTCTCATAGGAAGCTCACTGAATTTTTCGTCGGATGTTCTCAGAACTTCTCTGAACTTCTCCTCGAACGTTCGGTGAATTTCTCCCCGGAGGATCTTTGAACTTCTCGCCGGAAGTTCTCTGATCTTCTCTTCGGAAGTTTTCTAAACCTCTCCTTCACAGTTCTCTGAAATTATCCTCAGAATTCCTCTGGACTTCTTGTTGGAAATTCTCTGAACTTTTCCTCGGAAGTTCTCTGAACTTTTTTTTGCCATGTTCTATGAACTTCTTCTCGGAAGGGGGGAGGTAGCTCATCGATTCTTCCGGTTCGCCTCCTAGCATCGTGCTATAAGGTACCAGGCGATAACCAGGGTAGTTGATCGATAGCTCGATGACGTCATTTCGTTGGCGTCTGCAATGAGAAATTCTCATAGCATGCGTTGACGATGGAACGTTGTCGAGTTGTTGAATAGCAACTATCGTGGTATCTCACCGATTACCTGTCGATCTGCCAAATTTGGAAAGACGTCTGCATTGAATTGTCTCATATAATAATATTCCGCCCACTATATCACAAGAAATTGCGAGTAGCTGAGTGGAATGGAGATAAGTTAAGCATTGGGTACAGGACCAAGTCTCCCCTGGGTGGTGCCAGAAGATGAGCGCAATAGAATCATCAAGTTGCCATAAGGCACGGAATGAGACTATTGCATGGCTGGGTAGTCAAAGTCTTCAATTCGTTAGTCATTTCAGGTGGATTACAACAGGTTTAGGATTAGGGTGGGCGTTGGCCAGATTTGGATTTTTCAGATATAATTTTAAATAGGACCTAGATTATTTAATACACTAGTAACCTCAACTTCTCTCACAATGTTTCATTGTGACTAATCAACACTCAATGGGTAAATATCAAATTTGCGGTAAATTTGAAAAAAATGTAACTTGGCGTGTAGAGCGCACTGCCCACTGGACGATTCTGAAGCCTGACCAAGTGAGTGGGTTACGGGTTTATTTGATTGTACGTCATTTCCAAGTTATATATAGATACATTCATACCATTGGCATTTTGTATTTGAGATAAGACAGAGCCAGGATGCGGAGGGCCTGCTTAGGGGGAGCGTAACCCATGTGATGGCTTCCATTTATTAAATAGTTCAGATAGGCTGGAAATGATAGGTTCATGGTGAGAAAATGTACCATATGGTGTCCGTTCACTGATCAAAATTAGATTCAAATCGTCAGGCCCTGCCCTGTAATAAGGGGATTGACGATGATTTGTCAAGTTTCGTTTTGCATTTGCATATAATTGTAAGTTTAGGTTTGCTTTTGTAATTGTAAGATAGATAGTTTGCCTCAATTGAAACATTGAGTTGTATAAACTTGACGAATCATACCTCTAAAATAGTAGTAGTTACAGTGCCGCATTATCTAACAACCACTGCCTGCAACTAATGTTGAGGGGTCGGCAGGGCTGATTACGGATCAAAACTAACATAACTCTAACACTGAAATGATCCCGAAACTAACGCTCATTCATTGCACTTTGAGTCATAAAGTAGTTTTATTTATTTTCCTACTAATCTATCTACACACTTAGTTTTTTCTACCGAGCTCGGCTGTGCGGGTCTCGGCGGGGAGGGTTTCGCTGAGATCTCGGCGGGAGTGACATTTGATTGCTGAGTCTCGGATAATGCCTTTTCTAATAATCTGCCTACGTTTCTTT